TGGGACAGAAATGTTACAAAGTGACTTCTCACCAAGAACAGAGCTGAACCCCCTGCTCTGGCAATCCAGCCCCTCTTTATGGGTTCTATATGGGTTCTGACTGGCGACAGAGTCCCCACGCACTGCAACTCTGACAGTAAGGACGTATTCGTTGCTGTATTACTGTAGGCAGGGTGATAACGTAGCTTCCAGGCAATTTTCCAACTGGATGGATCGAGATCTGTCATCAGTGTTTTCCAGTGCTCGACCGGGATGTCGCCAGGGGGCGTGGGCGCGAGCTGTCAGAGGGAGACTACACTGCTGTACCGGCTCACTGGTGGAGGGCGTGGGAGGAGTGTCTGGGAGTGGCGGCGCCGACGCGAGCTTCGGCACGGTCCCGGCTGCCCCCCCCCCCGGGGGGCAGCGGGGCAGAGGGCTCGCCGCGCGGGGCAGCGGAGAGCGGCCAGTGCGTTCGTCCCAACTCACACAGCTGCTCAGCGCACGCATGCACCAGGGACAGAAAAATGCACTCTTTGATAATCTGGCAGAAAAAAAATCCAAATCTTTTAGAGAAAAAATGTGCTGACTTTTTTGTTCCGTTTATAAATTTTAAAAATGTGTTGATCAGAATCAATCCTGGATTATGTATTGATACACTTTCGATCCTTGTCTCAAAACCCCTCAGCTGCGGTCCCTAATAATCGTAATCATCATCACTTCATTAAACAACTCATGTTTTAGTTGTTCACTGAAGTGTTTGACGGTACTAACTCTGCAGCACCGCCAGCTGCCACATCTAAAAGGCAGTGAGATCAAGGACTTCGGCCATCATTTGGAGTCTGTATTTCTGCTTTTGTTTCTTAGATTAAATTTCTTCAACACCCTGTCGGAAGTATCAACAGAGGAATAACACAAAATAACGAGTGTTTCGATTTGGCTGTAAGGCTTGTATTTTTAATTATTACCCAAATACAGCGACTGATATAGACTTTCCTATCCCACTGCAGAGATCAGCCAACAAGGTGTTTGAACTCGGGAAACATTACGAAGCATCACTGTCTCTTAGAGTCTTGTTTTTTTTTCCGTTCCCCCAAAAACGCCTACTTCGAAATATGCTGTGATTAAATAATGGCAGCCCAGAGGGAACTGTAGCTCTTTCAAAGTTATAATTAAACAAAGTTGCGTGACTAGAATTCAGGAGCTCTTCAGAACCCTAATCCGTCAGAATCCAGGTAACGAAGTTAACGAGCGAGGGAAGCGATGAGTAATCGCAATGTGCTGGCGAAATGTTTTTCTGAATCAGAGCTCTGCTAGTGTTCATACCTTGTTCCAATCAAACACTTTTAGATGGCCTCTTTTTTGGAGAACTAACGTTCAATTTCATAGTGTGCTAATGCAGCATACTGATGGGTCTGGCTAACTGGGACTAACTTCATCGCTTGTAAAAATAGGATTCTTGATTATCGACTCGCTATCATGAAATGTGTTGGTTTTTTTAACAAAAGCCAGTAAGGGACAGTGGTGCTTTTCATGCATCTTGTCAGGTTTTTTTTTTTCAATCATTTCTGTTGCAAGTGCACCATGCGTGCATGTGCGTGAGCCTGCGCGCGCGCGCGTGTGTGTGTGAGTGCGCGAGTTGGGGCGTGCTCATGCCTCCCCCGGGGAACCCCTGGCTGCGTGGTTTCATATCATCTTCATGTTGAACTTGCGCGCCCCGCCCTGGCCGCCGCTGGTGGTGGGGCCGTCCACCTTGCGGAAGGAGTACTCCACCGAGAAGTTGTTCTTGTGCTGGCCCCGCCCGCGGCTCCACACGAACAGCAGCAGGAAGCAGAACAGGACCACGCCCAGGAAGGTGATGCAGCCCATGGCCGTGGACACCAGGATGGTCTTCAGGTCCAGGGTGAACTTGAGGAAGACGCGGGTGTCGTTCAGGCTGGTCTCGTTGAAGTCGCCCGCGTAGAGGGTCCGGTTGGCGAAGAGCGCAGCGTCCAGCGGCTGCCCCTTCACGGTGAGCGTGGCGAAGTAGGTGTCGTTGCCGCCGGCGTTGCTGGCGATGCAGATGTAGGTGCCGCTGTCCTGCACCTGCGCGTAGCGGATCTCCAGGGTGCCCCCCGGCAGCACCGTGACCCGGCCGCCGCTCTTCGTGGTTATCTTGCGGCGCTGGGGGGAGATCCACATGATGGCAGGCACGGGCTCGCCTTCGGCCCGGCACAGGAAGGACACGACCTGGCCCTCGCGCGCCGTCACGTGCTGCAGCTTGCGGTCGCGGATCTTGGGCTTCTGGCAGGTGAAGTAGTCGAAGAGCGCCGAGTCCGAGAAGGTGCTGAGCGTGTTGCCCTGCACCTCGGGGGGCCCGGCGCACACCGGCGTCCTGCCGTCGAAGTTGAGGGTCTTGCGGCGTTGCAGGATCCACAGCAGACGGCAGTCGCAGGACAGCGGGTTGTTGTCCACCCGCAGCGTCTCCAGGCTGTTGACCGAGTGGAAGGAGCTCTCCTCCAGGGTGACCAGGTAGTTGTTGGACAGGTTGAGGACCCGGATCTGCCGCAGCCCGCCCAGCGCGTGGGGCTCCACCGACACCAGGCTGGTGCTGACCAGGTGCAGCTCCTTCAGGCGCACCAGGTCCCGGAAAGCCCAGGGCTCCAGCACGCTGATGGGGTTGTAGGACAGGTTGAGGCAGGTGAGGTGGGCCAGGTTGCGGAAGGAGGCGGAGGGGACGGAGGTGATGTTGGTGTTGGTGATGGAGAGCCAGGAGAGGTTGAGCCCCTGGAAGCTGAGGGGGGAGATGTACTCCAGCAGGGGCCAGTTGTCAATCTCCAGCCCCCGCAGCCCCGCCAGCTTGCGGAAGTTCTGGTCCTCCAGCGAGGGGATGCTCAGGTGGCGGAGGCGCAGTGTGACCAGGTTGCGCAGGTAGGACAGCGACTGGCCCGAGATGGCCGTCAGGTTGCACCTCTCGATGGCCAGCTCCTCCAGACCCAGCAGCCCACTGAACGCCTTGTGGGAGATGTAGACCAGGTCGTTGTCTCCCACCTCCAGGTGGCGCAGGTTGCGCAGGTCCTGGAAGGTGTAGTCCAGCAGGATGACGATCTTGTTCTCGCTCAGGTCCAGCGTGGTGAGGTTGGAGAGCCGCGAGAAGGCGCCCATGGGGACGAGCTTCAGCTGGTTGCTGCGGAGGCGGAGGACGCGCAGGCTCAGGAGGCTGGCGAAGGCGCCGGGCTCCAGCACGGAGATGATGTTCTCGCTCAGGTCCACCTCCTCCAGCCGAGGGTACGGCGCCAGGTCCCCCGACGCCACGCAGCGCAGGCGGTTCCGGCTGAGGTCCAGCAGCCGCGTCTCCGTGGGGATGCCCTCGGGGATGGCGCTCAGGCGCTTGCGGTGGCACGCCACCGACTTCAGCTGCGGCACGCAGTCGCAGCGGGGCGGGCAGCCCTGGCACAAGGAGGCGACCGCCGCCATGAGCACCAGGCACAGGCCGAGCCAGCAGGGGCCCGGCGGGCCGGCCATGCTCCCTCTCCGAGTCTCTGGGGCTGGGTCACTGAGCCAGACACCTGCACAGAGAAGACAGTGAGGGAGGAAAGCAAAGGACATTGAGAGGAAGCAGCATGTGGGGGAGAGAAAGGTAGAGGAAGAGATTGATGGAGTGAGAGAGAAATATTAGGGGAGAGTGACAGCAGGTAATAAAGGAGAAGAGAGAGAGACAGTCAGTTCTTATTCCATTATTCCTTGACACTGATTCACAGAGATCTCTCAAGAAGTAGCTTAATGAGTTGCCTAGATCAATAAGACACTAATAACCCATTTTGAGTGATTTCCTTTCAGCAGCCGGGAGGGCAGCCTTGCGACTAACCGTGTTTCTTCCTTTCGAATTCTCCGCCTCAAAGAGCCACTGTGTCTCCCAAACAAAAAACAAAACAACAAAAGGCTCCAACCGCAAGATCGTACTACCCTTGCATTCCGCCAGCCCACGGAGCTGAACCCGAGGAGACGGGAGGCATCGCCGGCTGTGGCACTGTCACCTGCCAAGCGACCAGGTTCGGCTCAAAAGAAACGAAACTCCCACACAGCAGTCTTCAAATGCAAACAAAACTGGATTTATTGCCATCAAAATAGGGATAACAAAAAAAAAACCCTCACAGGAGTACTCTCCACACCTTCCCTCCAAGGCACCCTCGCCATACTGAGCTCTCCCAGTCCCTTTTATAGCCCCTCCTCTCCAAGGACCAGCCTCTTAAAGGGACACGTTTTTAACAGACATTTAACAGAGATGGGCAATTTGATCAAAATAAAGTATTTAACCATCCATAAAAACTTATACATTTTAACAGAGTCATGCAACAGTTATACAGTATATCCACTTAAACAAAACAACTAACCTTACATCGGTTATTTATAGATGGCTCACCAGTAACCTTTCCCTTTAAGATCATTTGTGTGATACTACAAACAGGAAAGGTGACGGGTGGCCATCTTGATCAACACCATACAATACTCCACTGGGGGAAACACTGCAGTGATTCTAGGGAAACCAAAAAAAGGTATCATTCACACTTCATTCATATCATATATACACTCTCAAACATACCAGAAGGGTAGAGGGAAATATTGGAGTATTTCACATTCAGTAAAAGAAAGAAAAAAAACAACCACTCTGTCACAGGCACAGAGCACATGAGCTGGAAGAGTGAGGTCTAGACACTGCAGTTCACTACCTGTGCCCATTCCTGGGGCGTCTGGGTCACTCAGCAGTATCATCGCCTTAAAGGGCAGCTGCAACAAGCGGACAGAGGGACTGACACGTGACACGCTTCTCAAGCAGTGGTCCAGATGTCAAATGACAAAGCGGGACTCCAGCCCCGGAGGCAGCACTGCTTTCGAACTGGACCGGAGGCAGGCGGTACTCCCAGGCGACCACCGTGTATCAGATCAGAAAATCAATGTGTTGGGAATCAAGTGAATGAAGAAGACAACCTTCTAACGTTTGGCACAGCGCAGTTCAAATTCCGAAATAACACCCAGCTGACAAACAGCTCCAGTAAATGCCAGTGATCTTCAGGTGACTCCGACATCGCTCCCCTGCACGCACACTGGCCCACTGGAGACAGAGCCACAGCGCTACACTTGCAGGTGCTGTTTATTTCTAATAGGAATTAGCCTTTCCCGGCCATCCGTATCCACACTAATTGTCTTTTAATGATTTTCTGTCACTGGCTGTCATCTCTGTGCACACACTGCCTGGCCCCAGAAAATCACTTTCTCCCACCTTCACGGAGAGAGCTCTCGCCCTGACTGCACCTCCGCGGCAACACCTGGCACACAGCCCAGTACCCCACCTCGGCCCTCTCTTCTCTCGACCTCTGCCCTTTCTCTCATTCTCTGCCCCCTTCTCCTCCCTCCCTCCTCTTCGCTCACCCTGGTGCTTGAGGGAAGGGCAGATTTTAATGAACCTCTGAAGGCGCAATTACTTTACCGATCGATCGCCCGGCCCGCTGCGCGCAGCCACTAGAATAAGGGGGAAAGCAGCAATGAAGTCAGGATAAAAGTGCCAGATGAAGCAGTAGGCTGGCTGAAAATGAACGTGGTGAGTAATACCTGCGAGCACTGGAGTGCTGTCGCAAAACTGAGGGAATTCATTTCTGCTGCTCTTTTGTCTGGTTCTCCTCACTGTCACCCATTCTCTCCCAGCTCTGACAGCTGGGCATGTCACAGGTCCACACTCTGCCTGTGTGCTTCCTGGAAAGCCATTTCTTCATCAACTGTCTCATCTGAATTTCGCTGGGTATAATACGCAATAAATTGGCATTTCCCAGCGGACCTGAAATAGATCCGACACCATCCACAGGGAATTGGAAAAATATGCCAAATAACGAGAACAAATTGGGGCCACCCCTTAGGTGGTGCACAGAGAAGTGAAGCTTTTGCGACAGAGCCATGGCGCATCTTCGCCCCTGCGGCCAGCGAGAACAGCAAGGCAGGCTCCCAGGAAACAAGTCGAGAGCTGGAGTCAAGTCTGTTCAGCTGCCTCATTGAAATGCGGCGAGAGTAGGAGCCGGCTGGAACAGAAGTTTAATGGAATAGATCATTATACAAAAGAAACACTCCTTTCAAATTTAGCCTACACGCTCCACTGCAATTGTGCTCTCCCACCTGCAGTCACACAACAGCTATTAGCAGCGAGACAAAGGGAACATTAAGCCAATTAAGCACCGGGGTTATGAAGGGGCAGCAGTTGTTAGCTTGACTCAGGCCCTGGAGCGCTCTCTGTGTGGAGTTTGCATGTTCTCTCCAGGGTTATCCTCTGGTGCTCCAGTTTCCTCCCATGGCCCACAGTCCAGCTGTGAACTGGAAGAAGCAGTCAGAAAATGGATGCATGGGGTTATGAAAAGGACTCTGTCGCAGGATGGTTGAGTGACAGCATTTTCTGTCTCTCCTTATTTTGGAGGTATTCCCTGCACCCTGTTCCTCAAATCAACTGCAGCGTTCAGTTGTGCTGTGTCCAAATTCAGCTCTCAGGCAGAATGGGCCACACAAATCAGAGACTGTGCCTGAGGGAGCTCTCTTTAGAATAAGAAATAAAAACCATGCACAGCTATGACATTCTACCTTCTATGCCATTCGAGGAACTGCATTTACAAATGCGAGATACTGAGATGTTGAACATCACCTGTTTGGCTGCAAAACATCAGCAACAACAAAGCTTACATATGGCACCTGACACCATCCCCTCCCCTTCTCCCACCTCTCCCAGTTCACATGGGTTTTCAAACTCTGCGTTTTCAAAACCTAGAAATAAAGAAGTCCGGTGTTATCAGCAAAGGCAGTTGCCCTGCTGCCCAGTCTCGAATGGCTACTGAGCATCTCACAGGGAAAGCCTTACAAGAGACAAGGAGACACTGAGGTGTTAGAATCAGCATCTCTCTCCCTGTATACACTGTTCACACATGGATCTTCAGCCACACTTTTAGTAACAGCAGCAGTGTTGGGAAAAAAACTATACACAAACCCGGGAAGTACAATTGAGATCATTCACTGAACAGCACACTTATTTGCGATGACCTATCTTCTGCATTTCTCACTCTCTTCCTTCAATCCAGCAAGCAGTGGTGCAGATGTTCAGCTGAACTAATTAAAGACACGGGGGGGGTCAGCACCAAGGCCCGAGGCTGTAAGTGCATCTACACACTGCCTTTATCAAGCCTGAATTTGAACACTGTAGGGCCGAGCAGCTGGCTTTGAGCTTCTGGTGCATTAATCTGAGTCTTTTTTTTTGTTGCTTTGCCTCTTTGTTAAAAAGGAGCACCTCACAAAGTCCTGGTAAATAGGGAGCACAGGTGCAAAAGAAAGAGAAAAAACCCAGCGCCAGCCTTTGGAAACTCGAAACTGAGATGCCACTGTGCCAGCAGGATCTTGAAAGACCGTGGGTCTATTGAAAAGAGTTCACTAGCAACGTGTGTACAAAATACACAGGGACATCATGAACAATTCATGAACGACATGAACACTTATGTTCTATTGTTAAAATGAGCAAGAGGGGATTTAGGGTTCTGTGCTAAATGACAATGTGTTTATCTGCCATTCGGCTGGAGTGGATCCCCCAGAACCCTGGCTAGCGGCGGCAGAGGGGGGCAGTCTGCGCGGATCGTGAGCTCATCCTTACAGTGCTGATGTTTACAGACCCGGCTAACAGGCTTTTGAATTCCCCGAACGCTCGGCTGCCTGTGTGCCGCATCCGTGGCATTAAATTTAGCCTTTTAAGGCTTTAAATGAGATGAATGCATCTCACTTGGCCGGAGTCAGCTGGATGAGATCCCCCTGGTTAGTGGAGGAGGCAGATGAGGAACAGGAGAGTCTACAGCGTGAGCAATTGCTCAGAGCTGAGGAACTAGGGGGTCAGCACAGTCAAGTGCTGTGAACACAGAAGGGCTCAGAAGTAAGAGCAGCAGCTTAATTTAATTAGAGCTGAGGCACTGGGAGAGAGAAGGAGATAGCATGAGCTCATTGATAGAGCTGAGGCTCTGGGAGAGAGAGGAGGCAGTGTGGGCTAGTGGTTAGAGCTGAGACAGTGGGAAAGAGAGAGAGGGAGGCAGTGTGGGCTAGTGGTTAGAGCTGAGACAGTGGGAAAGAGAGAGAGGGGAGGCAGTGTGGACTAGTGGTTAGAGCTGAGACAGTGGGAAAGAGAGAGAGGGAGGCAGTGTGGGCTAGTGGTTAGAGCTGAGACTTGGAAAGAGAGAGATGGGAGGCAGTGTGGGCTAGTGGTTAGAGCTGAGGCTCTGGGAGAGAGGGGAGGCAGTGTGGGCTAGTGGTTAGAGCTGAGACAGTGGGAAAGAGAGAGAGGGAGGCCGTGTGGGCTAGTGGTTACAGCTGAGGCTCTGGGAGAGAGAGGAGGCAGTGTGAGCTAGTGGTTAGAGCTGAGACACTGGGAAAGAGAGAGAGGGAGGCAGTGTAGGCTAGTGGTCAGAGCTGAGACACTGGAAAAGAGAGAGAGGGGAGGCAGTGTGGGCTAGTGGTTACAGCTGAGGCTCTGGGAGAGAGAGGGAGGCAGTGTGGGCTA